TTATAGACTTATTTTGCCCTGGGCTTTTCCTCTCAGGCTTCCGTACCATATTGGTGGAGGTTATTGGGGCTGTATGCCACACATTACTCACGGCTAAAAAAAGATCACCTTCTACATGTTTTGTGCACATATTATTTAATATATAATTTTACTAGAACCCGACTCAAACGGCATTTTTGAGACCAATACAATGACGATTTTAGAGGGGGAAAATGCACAGGTCACCACTAATTTTTACGTTATAATATACTGTTAATATTCTCCAAAAAAACCCACTAAAGAATGGAACAAGGGACAGCAATTCCTTTGTGTTACTTTCCTTATTATGGACAACATCTACTCCCTTGCCATCAAGTCAACATGTGGGCGGCTGCATTTTGAATGAGCTTAAGCTACTGAATGGCTTTTATGTTGCAGTAACATCCTGCAGAACAAGTGTTTCCAAATCTCACAAGGATTGAAAACATCACATTTTCAAAATGAACCTTAGATAATGGAAGGCTACTTTTGTGATGGTGCTGATCAAAGAAAATAACAAATTACCAGTAATTTCTCAGCTCTTTACCTGATAAGTGGTCCTAAGGGATCCGGACTCCAAATAAGCACCATCTGTTGCTTCTGAACCTAGCACCCAACGCTTTTAGGGTCCAACAAAGGAAAAATCAAACAAATGCATGTGCTTTTAGTGACAAAAGTGAACTGTAAAGTGAACAGTTGCTTGCCCATTCAAGGAGATTAAATGTCCCTGTATACTCAAAAGTCCTAAAGTGTTAGATTAACTTTGGTAGTTGTTGACTTTAAGAGACTTTTTCACAGTGTTTTACCCTCTCGGGGAAGAATCAACACTGATGATTTCTGTGCAGGCTCTGCGGATTTAAACATGACAGTTACTGCAGACAAGAAAACACCTGGCTCTTGTTTTTATTCGAGTTTGGACCTGGATAAATCTATAGTGTCCCATACTTTTTTCTCTCTCTGTCATGTTTTGGTCATGCTTCAGGCTCTCCTGTCAGTGGATTTTCCAGCAGCCTCCCAACATGTTATTTATTTACTGTTCCTGCAAGCTATGATGTGTGTCTCCTCACTGCTCACTTTATACCTCATCTCTCTTCTGCCATAGTCGCTTATAATCACCCTGTTACTTCAGCACATAAGGTCTAGCTAATTAGTCCAATCATTATAATTACAGATCAGAGAGGCATGATCAGCAAGGTTAGGCAAGGTTATTTGGCCTGTGTCTGCACCCTTACCCAGATTGAATAAGTGGTTACCATTATTCCCACCAAGCCCAGGAATAGGAAAGAAGTGACGTAATTTTCTTGGTGAGATTTCTGTCCTTGCTCTTTTTGGATGAATCGTTCGGGATTCAATAATTAGGGTGCTTCAACCCCAGCAAGGTATGGATCCTCACGAGAATGCTGTTCATTCGCTCTGTGAGAGGGAGCTCCAGAGGATTTTTATTTTTTTGGATGGTTTCCAATGTCAATATGTTCCCACAGAGATGCTGATCTATATGGAAATACTGTTTGACATTGACTCTTTAGTCATTGAAACAGTGCAATAGATCTTCCAACACGACGGATGTTACTGTAGCAGAACGTGGAGGGAAAATAAGATAAGCAATTTCAGGTGCTACAGACTTGCAGCACCTGTACAGTGTGTGTATGAGTGTGTTTATGTTGGCTTGTTCTACAGTATCAGAGCTAAGCATTTACTGTCACTGGACACAACACTAAACCCTTATCTTACCTCTGCTAGACGGTGGTAAATCTGAGAGCGCAAACTGCCTTGTCTGTTGTCTGTCTAGTAGAAAGGTCACTAATTTTCAATGAGGTTTTCCTTCCACCACGGTAAGAAAGTTTGGGTAAATTTTCACCTGAGTGGAGTTGTTGGTCTAAGACACACATTGGAGATGTTGATGCTTCACTGAGCAGCTGCGTCAGTTTCTGTATAGATAATGGAACAAAATTGCACAGACACTTAGATAAGCCCTTTACCTTTAGAAAATCGCTTTTGCTACACAGCGTCATGCCGAAGCCCATCCAGCAAGAGATCTGCTTTAGTTTAGGTTGCCCTAGAGTCTGCATTTCTGATGCATTTCTGAATATCCACACACACACACACACACGCACACCCACACACACAACACACAGAAATAAGATTGTTAATTTAAGAAAGGCTGTGATGGAATCATGCCCAGCCTTTAGATTGCGTATACGTACAATGCAGAGCTATATTGATAAACCCAATAAACCGTCATTCTCAGCGTTATGCATAAGGGTTTCTGTCTGTCATCTTTTTATTTGTGCATTAAACACGTTGAGGACTCTGTCATGTCTGTCATGCTCGCTTTACATCCATTATTGCATGTAAGTAGCTGCTCTCTATAGATTAGTTTTTCTCCAATTTTGTGACCATTTTCCATATGTTAAATCCCACTCACACTACAACCACCAACAGTCAGCAGTGGCTTCATGCCACTCCCTTTATAAAACCCTCAGTAGGATTTTTACTTCTGCAGAAAAAAAACAAGATTGTTCCAGAGAGTTGGCTCTGCACAGAATTAGAGAAAATAATTCACATTGTTGACTGTCAGCTCATCACCCACAATATTGTGTTTTATCAGTTGATCTCTAAAATGATCCTAGCTCAAGAGAAACAGCTGAGTGGGCATGTTTGTTGTTTATGTTTATAGATCCGTTAATTTTGCAATAATTGGCTCCAGTCACTGTTAGAGAGACTTAGAGACTTACTGTAGCTGTTTTAGCTACAAAGCTCTCTTTGTTGCTGATCAATCTTTATCTGTTGATGGTTCTCTGAAGTAAATGTTATGCTACCCCCAATGGAGTTTGGGCATCCAGTGTTTTTGAACTAGAATTATACCTTTAAAAAGAAGTATGTGTGCATAAAACTGAAAGAAGTGGAAAGGTATTTCCTTTAAAACACATTCAAAATGTTCTATGGCTTAGATTTTACCTCTAATTGGTTATCTGTCTGGAGAAGCAGTAGGTATTGTAATATTTAGAACCATTCCCGTACCAAACTGATAGAAAAACACAATTAAATCTCTGAAATAAAGTTGTTATAATTAAAACTGATGGCTTTAACACAAATTAATTTTTCCTTGAAACTGCTGTGTTTCTATGTTGAGGATATCCACAAAAGAAAACTTTAAAATGAGAAATTACAGTGGTAAAATTACTTCTGGAAGCAGCAGATCTTCCAAATTGACAACTGTATTGTTTACTCTCCAATCTGTGTCAGCTTATTGAATCCCTCAAATCAGTCATCTGCACTCCTTAGCTCACAAACTGAATATTACACATCACATATACTTTTTGTCTCTGCCCAAGGTGCCGTGGCTTGTGGCTGTCACAGCTCTGCAATATGGCCATACAACTAACTGATTCCCGTTTTAATGAATGTGGATAATGGGCAGTCTGGTAAATAGCTCCGATTGCTCTTATCTGCAGGCTAATGATGTCTTGGGCTCCTTTCAATTAAGGTGGGAATGAGGTCACTAAAGGGTTTGTTTCATAGCTCAGTCATTCAGTGTCATTAAAGCCTTAGCGTGTATTCATTAATGCCCTAGCCACAGGTCCCCAAAGCACATGCTCTGCCTCGCTCTTTTATCCTCTATAAACTAATTAAGAATTATTAATCCTCCACTAACTGTTTGGGCTTTGGATCCTTTCTGGAGTCTTTCTTGGTTGTGGTTTTGGCGCTGGTTTATGTGTGTGCTAGCCAGATCAATCAGGCCCGAGGTGGAAAACTTTTAGGGATGCTTTGTCTTAGAAGTTACAGATGCTTTGTCTTAGAAGTTTTCCTTTGGGGTCTTGATTTACCAAAGTGCCTCAATCATAAGATTTAATAGAGGTGTACCCAGATTTTACCATTTCGGTAGTGGTTGCCTGTTCGCTTTGTGATACGCTTTGTGATTACTTTTAAATGACAGTAATCAATAGAGTTTAGTTTAGTTTAGCAAAATTAGCAACTAGCTAGGAGGACATCTAGAAGCTAAATACTTATTTTCCTGAGGACATGGTGGAGAATTCTTTGCTAACCCCATACAACAACAAAAGTAGACCACACAAGCGAGCTAGATAGACTTATATTATAATTTATATTTCATATATTTTGCTGTTGAATAACTGTAAAATAAGGAGTACATCTAGCTTTAAACTGGAAGTTTGGAGGACATCCAGAGTCATCCAAAGCTGCTGACAGGACTGTCCTAAATTGTTACCGTAATATATTGTAAAAAATCTTGTGCTCATTTAATGTTTCACTGAACCCAGCCAAATGCTGAACATCACCATGTATCAAATGAATTTCCCGTGCACATTATTTGATTTGGGCATGCACAAGAAGCCATAAGCTTCTATCCCCCTGTTGTTTCTATTTTATATCATGCGGTGATACTTTATCTAGTGCCATACCCATTCTTTAAAATTCAGTTTTCACTTATCACAATATTAAACTGCGATAAGTTCATTTGTTGGCCAAAAAATTGCCTCAAGGTTGCTCATAACTCCGACTCGTTTTCCCAAAGCGTCTCTCTGCTGTTGCCAAGCTGTTGTCAAGCATGCAATTCACCAACGTGTCGTGGGCTCCATTTTTATCTGTCACATTCGTTTGCGGGTGATAGCCGCTGATGCTCGGCTCATTAAGAATTCTCCCCCTCCTCCTGCTGCTGCTGCTGCTGGCATGTCTCCTTGAGAGCCGAGAGGCTGCGACTCTGACTCACGTTCGTCCTTGACTGACACCCCCATCATTCCTTTTCATGAGTTTGCCATTTATACTACCACTAAATCTTTTTTTTCCCCTCACTTTAGTCTCATAGACATAACTCTCTTTTGGTTCTTTCTGACATTCCATATATTGTTAAAATTTTGTCTTCATTCTTTCTTCGTAAATTTTACTCTGATTTGCTCCTATAATACTCGTTTTACTGTCTCTGACCATGTCTTTTCTCCTCCTCGCTGTCTCTCTCTCTGCAGGAGCTGGTGGGCAGTAACCCTCCGCAGAGGAACTGGAAGGGAATAGCGATCGCCCTTCTTGTCATTCTGGTCATCTGCTCGCTGATCGTCACCTCCGTCATCCTGTTGACACCAGGTACACGGCGCAGGACGAGGGGGGGTCACAACACTATACACCACAGATCGCTCTGTTTACATGGCTATTACTATGCAGAGACATGCCCATTAGGTTTTGCAATCAATCTCACTACAAACAATGCAAAGAATATGGTGTGTTTGTCGGTACCTCTGTCCTTGTGCGTGTGGTCCATGCTCTCATGCAATATTTGCAGTGTCACCCACTGTAATGTCACAGTTAACTTCCACATGGGCACTCCTTGTTGCTGTAATGGATACATTTAGCGAAGGTCAGTAAACCTCATTGAAGTCAGCTTGCGCAACATTGCTTTCTTCATGAACGCAGTCCCCATCTGTCTCCTTCACTTAGCCCTTCTTCTCCCAGCACACACACAACACACACATTTTGAACTCCTACATTTCCCTTAGTTATTTTAAGGCATCTGAGTTTGATTTCAAAGTGACCTTCAGGTTTTCTGTTTGCAGATTTACATGAAAGTTTAATCAATAGGCCATCTGTTTATATTCAGGCTCATAAAGCTCCTTGATATGGTTTTATGCGCTGCCAGAGCCAAATCAGTCAATAGAACTGCCAGTGTGTGTGCACTATAATGCAGTTACAATGACAGTAATCACAGTGCCCTTGTTTAGGATTTTCTGTCGCAGACAATTTCAGGTAATGTTTCTGAGGATGTCAGGAGCATGGTGGCAAAGCAGGGTCAACAATTATGAAAAAAATTAAATGTATTGCTCAATAATCCTTAGAGATCTAGACAGGTGTCAGAGCAAAAATATCACTGGCGTAGAGCTACGCGCAGCGGCAGGTGTCAAAGCAGCCAGGCCTAAAACACCTTGTCACATCCTGGCTGTGACCTGTTCCTGTCCCGTGGCGTTTGTTATGGACTCAGATGAACCGGAGCTGTTTAATGTGCCACTTCCAAACAAGGCGGGCCGACGGGAGTCAGGCAGAAAGCGGAGGCCGGGCAGGTGGTGTCTCCAGCTTGTACTCGCCCTAATCCGTCCCCTCCCTGCGTCGACTCTGTGTGCTCAAGCAGAACCACTGTTTCGCTCCAAGTCTCGACAGAAGCTGCCGGGTTCTAGCAGCAACTGTGATGCCTCCAGCAGACTACCCCCTTAAAGGGGCTGTTTGTTTGGTATTTCAAATGCCTTTGGGACGTTCAAATATGCTCTGGCCTCATCAGATGCAGTTTTGAAAGTTGGTGTGGATTAATTAGATATCCTGACCAACTGAGATGAGCTTCAGGATAATGCGGCTCCATAAATCATTCCTCAAGGACAGGTGGTTTGTTAGTGCAAAGACAGTTTATTTTACTCCTTCTCAGGGTTATCATATTCGGGATTGAACTATTAATTGAATCCCTGGATTCTACTGAGTCTAATATTTTTTGTACTTGCCAAATTAAATCCTAATGTATCTTTAATCTGGGATGTCCAGCACACAAAATAGCCATCATATTTAAAGTCAAAATAGTACAGACATTCAGTTTTTATAAAGAAATGGAATAAATTAATGGAAATAGAATGGAGAAAATGTTTTTCCCAGTTGTGAGCCAGGCCTTATCGCCTGCGTACAAGCATGCAGGGACCCAACTTTTTTCCTGTCAACAATGCTGTGGTTTACCGTGACAGGGTACCTAAAATTATGAATAACCACTCAAAAGGCTATCATATTTCACATGCTACTGATGACAATCTCCAAAGATGCATGCATTATTTTCTGTGCGGCAATGCAGTCTATTCAGGCTCCTAACTGTGGAGAAATTGCTATCTCTGCATCTTGAGATGAATTCCTCTCTGTATGATTATGAAGAAAATACTGAATGTGACAAGAAAAGCTTTGATTCCCAGGAACTGATAAAACAACGGCATACTTACTGCTGATTATCTTTATGTGCTAAAAGTAGTCAAAGGCATGAATTACACTACAAAAAACCTTTTATCAAGACAGTTGTGTCTAAGATTTACTCCTAAAGACCTCACTTTAAGTGAAAAAAATAAGTTTTGGAAATTTACTTGTTTTAATAATATTTTAGATCTTGAAACAAGAAAGAATCAAGACAAATCAAGATTGATTTTAAAAAATCTTAAAAGCAAGCAGATTTTCCCCCCACTGCTCTTACGAAGATAACACGTTAAAGGCTTAATTACAGGCAAAAACAACATAGTAGGAAGATTTTTTTTTTGCTGTGCAAATGGGCCCAGGAGTGCAAGATTTTTGCAACACTGTTTAAGTGCTTTAGGGAGAATTTTCCAATTAAAATGCTAAATCCAGCAATCATTCAGAACAACTTATTTTGCTGTAATTACGCATCAAGGAGAAACATTTGGTGAACAAAGGCACCTCAGCCTCAGCAGCAAACTGTAGGAGTTATGAGATAGCATGTTGTTTCCACTCAGTCAGGAGGGTTTGTTGATGGATGCTCCCCTGTAAGACAAGCCAGTCAGTCTCTAACTGCTCCTGACAACCACTTTGTTCTCACACACACGCACAGACTCTCTCGCACACATAGAGCTTCAGTCTCCTTCTCCTTTTCCTTCTCTGACAACCTGTGTCTGCTGTAACTGATAGCTCCATATTACTAAGAGGTTGCTCTGTTCTCTACATCAATACAACTAGGTCAGATGTTCACAATTGGCATCTGGGTATTCCTCAGACTGAAGGATGTCAGGCTGACTGACAAAGTGACAACTAACTCAAATTGTGGGAAGATCACATGTTGCATTCATTTGGCGCAGCTGAATGCAAGCAGTACAGAGATAATTGCATAAAGCTGACACTAAGTTAGATCACTCTCATGAAGAATTCAGCTCTTCAGTTGCACTGAACATTTTGTTGTACATCTGTAAGTATGTTTTCATAGCCTTTTTTGATTATATTCACAGGGGTATATTCACTTGTGCCACCCCAGTCAAATAAAGTCCGGAAACGCTCCTGGAAGTTAAATCCCAGCCACTCTTTTCTTATTTTGTGTACTGACATACAGTGTCGTAGCCAGGATTTCAGAAACAAAGAGTTCTCCAATGCACCATTTACATTTACACTATTTACTAAATAAACCAATGTTTATAAAATATTTAGCATTTGGATTGTACATATTTCATGTAACTGTTTTAATTATGCTTTCTGTAAAAAAAAAAAAGAAAAAAAAAAGAAATCCCAACACAAAAATCCAAATTCTTCTCCACATTACCAGGAATAAAATCCCAAGGGAGGAATTATTTATTTGTTTATTTGTATACATGTATAAGTTGTAAAATTGAAACATTTGTCTAAAAAAGGTTGGAACCTGTGTAAACTCCCTGCGTGTAAAAAAATGTTTTTTATATATCATTAGTAACAGAAGATGCATCCTCTGTTTTACCAATGTCAGACTTTCACTTTCAATTTAGCATCTTTACATTATTCTGTCCCATAACTAAATAATTATTACATGACTTGAGTTGAGTTCACACATGTGCACATGTCACACAGTCATCAGAAACTTTGACATGAAAGGTGCAGCAGAATTCCAGTTTACTATAACTAGCATAGTATATTATACCCACAGTGGGTTGAACTCGCGAAAACATGTTTCTGGCCACTAGTGGGGAGCAGAAACAAGCTGCAAACACAATCCTGGCCATAGTCTCAACTCATAACCCTGATTTGGACACACATAAACATTAGCATTCATTTGGAATCGTGTTTCGGTCCACCTTGAGGATATTAGTCTATACGTACATGACATTGGTAAAACAGAGGATGTAATTCCTTTATATGATAGAATTACATCTTTATTTTGTAGTCAACACTACCAACTTACTGTATTTGAGTCACGTGGAGATCCTCACATTATCTTTTAAATTTTGCAAGTTCAGCGTTCGATCCGAACTCCCTCTGCTTTAGCATTGTATTGAAAAGAGGTCGTGCTACATTAGCATATAAACTGCTCAAGTGAGCTGACCCCGCTGGGTCTGACAGGTCGCTTTTGTCAGACTAATTCAAAGTTTCTGCCTATGATCACAGCACTCTGTGAGGACGAGATAAAGACATACTTAACTCCAGAAAATGGTTGTGCCTATTAGAGATTGTGCTATATTTAAAAATGTAATTTTAAATGTAAACTCTTAAGTAAATTTCTCCATTAACTGCCTCTGTGTTCAATCCATAAATCTGGCTTTCAGAACTGATTATAAAATCAGTATTTATCCCTTCTAAACCTCACCATCTGATGGGAGGCTGCAATTTATGTGCGCTATTGCATTTCCCTGCAGTCTATACACAGTCTGGTGACTCTGATAATCACACTCAAAACTCAAGTGATGCACCAAGCAGATGCCTACAAAGGTGTTTTTCTCCCCCATGATGAAATCAGGGAGGAACTGAGGATCAGTCTGTCCATCTGTTAGGCACAATATGCCACACGCAGCTCGCACACAGCTCACGCTCCCGTTTGGAGAATGATGCAAGTCGATGTTGCGTTCTTCCAATTTAAATACACGTTGATTGGTAAAAAAGGAACTCGCATTTTGTGTTCTTGCTGAACTTTGTCAAAAAAATATTTCCCAGCACTTGTACTCCAACCAAGAAAGTCAACTGTTACCTAGCCTCAAATTGTAACTTCCTCCTAGCGCTGAAACGATTAGTGGATGATCGATTAGTCCAGTGTTTTCCAACCTTGGCATCAGGACACCCACAAGTGGTCGCAAGTTGAACCTAAGAGATCATGATATTTAAATAATAAATATACTATGCATAAACATTTTCTGCTTCCAGTCTGTTTTATGTATTATAAATTAAATGTCTTTAGATAGTAATGGTCAGAGGAAACAAGCAATCTAAATATGTTGCTTTGGGAGCATGTGCCATACATTTTTCTTTTTTTATGACATTTTATAGACTAAATAACTTATTAAAATAAAAAATAAAAAGATTATAATTACAGCCCTACTTGCTGTCAAATGTATTTGAGTTAAGTGCCTCGAGTTGAAATGCATATAAGAATCACAGAATTTATTCCCCATGATTTGTTATTAATATTTTAGATGCTCTTTAGACATTATGCTGTCATTGAAGTGTGAGTATTACATTTTGCTGTTATTTTTCTGACGTATAATATCCGGCTCTTATGATCATATCCACTTGAAGAGATGTCACACTGATCCGAAGGCTGACATTAAACTTTTTTTTTTTTTGTCAACAGTGTGATATGTCATGCTGTTAACATGACAAGAGGAAGATGTTTAGTGTCATTTCATGTTGCCAGCCTCTGTCTGAACCTCCCCTTCCTCCATCCATCTGCTCTTTAAAGATGATTTCTCCGACAGCTGCGACACATGGATCAAAGCAAGTGTCAGATTAAAATTAGGGGACGTGGTCACAGTTTGCTGAGAAAGCATTTGGAGTTGTTTAACCCCTCTCCAGTGTTTCCATTACTGACATGTATTAAGCTCCAGTTTGATCAGTCATTGTTACTTAATCTTTCATAGTGGTTTGCAAATATATGATGTGGCATGTTGGATAATCAACTTTACATCACTGCTAATCATTTTTAGCTGCACTAGCGACATAGCTCTATGGAGGGTAATGTTGACCAGTCCACCCCTTTTGGTCTAGACTGAAGTGAGTGTACTATTAGATGGATTGCTATGACATTTTGTAAAGATATTAATGCACAGTGTATCCTAATGAATTTGATGATCCCTTGACTTTTCCTCTCACATTTTTGGTTTTCAGTGAAATGACTCGAAAAGCCTGGGCGGTATGAAGGTATTACGTTATACTATAGTATTTAGAAATCCCGAAGGTATTATTTTCAATTTGATTAATAATAGAGGCGCTCCTCTCTCTGGTTGATTGATCATATTGGCTCTTAGATTGTTTATTTTCCATGTGCTCAGTTTGGATTTGAGTTTAAACATCTAAGAGTCTGTCCATTCTGGATTAAAAGCTATGTCTCAGCCTGTCTACTTCTCTCTTTTTAGAGCATGCCATGTGAAGTTACTTTTCTCTGACTCACTTACTTCTCCGACTGTCTATCATCTCGTCTCGCCTGTGTGTGTATCTAACTCATTGAGTCGAGTCGCAATGTTTATCGGAATGCACAGATCTGACTGGCTGAGTGGCATCACGTGACATGATTTAAAATGCCTGCAATTTCAGTTTTGTCAGCCGCTAAACCAGTGTCATGAATGCTAGAAAAGCTGTGCGGGTCAGAATGAAACGCTCCGGCTCTGCAAAGCAGTGTTTCTCCCAGATTGTGTCAACAGTTCCTTCAGCAAGAATCTTTGGAAGAAGGCGTTTCCTTTATATTGTTTATTCTGTGGGCCGTAAGTATTAAAACCCTGCAAGACTCAGCTAATTGACCTTTTTCACAGCAGCTATCTTGACATTAAACAGTAGGGTAATACCAATGACACCAATTAAGGCACCATGCCATTTAGTCTTCCCAGTGAGCCAACATGCACAATAGCAGCACATACCCTGACTCTGTTTGACCTGAATGGAACACAATATTTTATCATCTATCTAATACCATTGGTAACACCTGTGATTACCCTACTATTTCAGGTCAAAATGGCTGCTGTGAATGGGGTCTAGTGCATATTAGACACGCAGCATTGTAGGCTGGACAATGTCATACATGCTACAAATGACATCTATCCCCGGCTGCTCAGCTTTTATGGTTTTTGTGGGTTTATTTGCACAAACTCCATCATATACTGTATAACATGTGTGAAATGTCAGGAAGGTATAACAATAAAGATACCGCACAAGCCTATTTGGTACAGACGTTCGTGTTCCATTTAGGATGAATCATAGTAACTTTGGTGAGGCTTTAATCTATGATGACATATCTATAAAACCTTTGATATAACAAGCAGCTTCCGTTGTACTTTGTGATCATATTAGCATACTAACGTTAGAATTTAGCTCAAAAAACCAGTAGTCAAAAGTACACCGTCACATGTGGCTGTAGATGTTGGCTGTAGCAGTGTTGCAGCTTGATTAATGAATCTTTTCAACATATTTTTAAAGCCTTTGTCCCCACCTAATGTCAGCATGGTGTTCAGATAAACTTGTTGTGAGATACTGTAGGTAATCCATAACACTGAAGAGCGTTTGGCTTTTATCTGTGTAGAAAACCGTTAGTATGACTGCATGATGATGAACCTGGTAAGCAAGTTGTTTTGATGCTACTTCAGTGATTTATGTGCTTGTGAGAAGCTTCAGCGCCTGAGAATTTAGATTTGGTCGTGAAACATCATCCTTTTTAATGCAGGAAGCTTTTCAAATTCACATAAAACCCTTACTTTTTGCTAGTCTTCCAGGTTTTATTTTCTTTCTGCAGCTATATACTGTTCCAAACTCTAAATCACTGATATCAGAGCCGCTTACAAGAACGCATCATGTAAAAGGTTTTAAAACAAGCCACATTTTCAACCACTTTACCAGACAGCCATATCATTTCTCTGCAACTTGATCTTACCTATAATAGATGCCTCACTTACATGAAGTGAAACCATTGGCTTCCTGGCAAGTAGCAAAAGCTTTCACCTGCCTGAGAACATATAGTGCAGTATGAATTTAAAAATTGTTGGCTGTAAAATGTATGTAAATGTATTTCATTGCCAGCTAAGACATGCAAAACACTGGTATGGTCTTTTGATGTTCCAGAAGTTTCTCTACCACTGAACCAGCACAGTGGGTCATCCGCCCTTATGGACCTTCAAACTCACCTAAAAGCATTTTCATTATTCTGGGTTTCAATAGACAGTTACAGAGTCACATAATGTTCTGCCTTGTCCAGACATTTCAACCCTGCAAAGTTCCAAAAGAAACACTTATACTAGTCCCTTTTTGGCATGAAAATGTCACATTTAATAAGCAGATTTATTTGAAAAACATGCTTTATTTTTTCCTTCCTCCTACTTCTTTTTTATTAATCTTTATTTTTTGTCAAATCCTTTGAGTAGAGCATGTTTGGACCTCTTTCTGGTCCATTTTCATATGTTGCTGCCTAACCTCCTTCCCAAAATCTGGTTATGTAAAAATTTAGCAAAGCATCACTCAGATATTGTACGTCTTCCAGTAATTATTATGTTATTCTCAACTTATTTGTCCTGTTTTCTTATTTCATTTCTGTTCTTTTTTCGTTTCACCTTATTGCAAAGCAATTCTGGCAACTTTTTCTGTGTGAAGACAGAAATAATACATTAATGGTGTTATTATTAATAGTGATTGCAGTAGTTATACCAGAGATACATAAAATCTGGCCATTAGTTGAGTGAGGGTAAGAAAAACATATAAAGTAAAAAAGCTCAGATACCATACACATAATTCAAACGTACCTTAGGCGAATTAGCCTCATATTAAAGAAAATTATTACATGTAGCATTGATGTAGGTATAATGTTTTGAAAGAAAATCTATTTTCAGTTTTTGAAATCTAAAGTTAAACCTTTGAATACTGAATATTTATTATAAAGTTTTCTTTTTTTTTTCTTTTGTTATCCTGCTTTACTTTCTGCACTCGTCTCCATTATATATATATGTAGAATAAAATAAGAAATGGCTGTTGCAGCCAAACAATCACCTCACATATAAATTGATAGCTGCAGCATGGACACAGACAGGTTAAGCAGAGGGATTAAACTTCACTTCATTGGAAAGACAGTCCTGTAGCTAAAATATCACAGCTTTGATCCTCCTCGCAACCGAATGTGCATCAACTGTCTTGTCCCTGTTCAGGAGACTAAATCCAGCAAGACCTTTTTAAGTCAACGTTAAACCAAAACTTGCCACGATGAAACTTCAGGCTGAGAATGTTCCTGCTAAATTCAAGGCAACTTTATCTGTATGGAGCCTTTCAACAACAAGGCATTATGAAAAGAAACCTGCAAAACAAAGCATGTCCTGACATATTGCCATTTTCTTTTTATCCTCCCACCACGTATACAGAGGTGAAATGAGTCATATTATGTAGCAGCCAGGAGATGATATGATGAGCATTGATGGATGAAATTAGGCTGAAATGAATTGCAGGAGGCATCTGCTGTAAATATAGATGTCTGGCCTGATGATCAGAAGCCGCACTAGTCTTAATCAAAGGCCTGAGGGACTTAACACGATTCTCTGCTTTCTTATTTTTACTCATGTGTTTTTTTCCCTCTGTCTCAGCTGCAGTCTTTATTCTTTTAAAGGTGAACAGTTGCAGCCTGCGGGAAAAAGTTGTTAAGATGCAGGCTGAAATCAAAACGTGTCAAGAGGATGTTATTTGTTCTCGTGTTGTCAGAAGCAGCAAGAAAAAAACTATATAACAATTCAAAAGTTATTAAATTGTTTATTTTGAATCTATTATAAATGTCACACATAAAAATATATTGTAGCATTACAGCTTTAGGTAAAAGTATTTTACTAATGACTAACTATCAAATATTGATGTAACCCACATACTCTCATCAGAACAAGCTGCTTCTCATTTTTCTTACTTTTTAAAGAGAAAACTTTCTAAATCTGCCCTTTTTTATAGCTGGATATCGATCTAACAGACATGGTATTTGTGATGACATGATACGATCACTCAAACTTTAACAATAACACTTGTGGTCTGGTTTTGATGTACTGCCAGCTGCCGGATGAGCCACCTACAGTATAATAGTTGCTATGTTATGTGGCAATTAAATCTGAAACAGAGCTGCTAGGAACAGGATGACAGGATACTGATCGGTTACATTTAGCTCTAAATTATATAAAATTAGTAGTGAGGACGTGAAGCATTATTTATAACTTATTATGCCCTTTATTTTTGTCCTGTTAAATATATTTCCCTATAACCGCAATCATTGTGAAGCCTTTAATTTGCATTATGAGGCTTTATAAAGCTTACAAAGCATTTTTACTGTTTTACTCACTCCAGCATGTTATGGAAAGAAAAACCTACAAGGGTTTCTGTAATTGATACACGAGGAGTTGCAGAGTTTTCTTTATGTTAACGCTGTGGTTGCTTCCTTTTGCAGGTGAGGATGACCGCCTGGCTCTCAAGGGCAAGGTGACTGTTGGAGACCTTTTTAGAAAAGACTTCAAGGTTCATGACCCCAATGCCAAATGGATAAGCAGTAAGTAATCCTATTCATTTTAAGGCTTGCACAGTTTATTGAATTTGAACATGTTGAAAATGTCAGGTTGTTTTAAAATATTCTGATTCACACATTGCAGGAACAACAGTTACATCCCAACTGTAGGAATACTGCACATACTGGGCCTCCATCCATATAGCACCTTTTTCTGTCTAACACCTATGAACTATTTCTCCCTGCTGCCTAGTTGTTTAAGTCTTCTTAATGCTTTCCTAAAATCCTATTTCCTTTCTGTTGTTTTGCTGGCCAATGAATGTCCTCTTTACCAGTTGTTGACCAATCAGAATCAAGAAGGGCAGTGCTTAGCATTCGGAGGAAGAAGACACCCTAACACAGAGAAAGTTACATTGAGCTTTATATTGCTCCAGAAAAGGAACTGACATAAGTGGTTTGCTTGTATTTTTTATATCTGCAAAAAATATTTGTGTGTTGTGACACAAAAATACTCAGCTTAACAGCTTAAACACCAGTTTCAGAAATGGTAATAATTGTTTCACTTATTAAGGGTATTGATGTACGTATTTTGACTGTATTTTCCTATATGATTTATTATATCAAGAATATTGCAACTAAAGATATATTTCTTATTTTAGCTTCATAAAATAACACACCACAGTTTAAACAGCAAACATAGTATTTACTGAAATGATGACTGTTGTTTGTTCTTGTCTTTTACACCATCTGTCCCTCCTCTGTCTTTGTGAAACTCTGTGTTTCTGTACATTAGGTGTGTGTTTGTGTGTGGGTGGGTGGGTGTCTCCTTCCTGTGTGACATCCCTGCAAACGATTTATCCCATATGCTTCAATAGCTACCCAATTACCTGTAACCACAACCCTCATTTTTCTGTGATCAATGACAGCGTGTGGATGCTGCTATTGTTACAATTCATCACCACCTATTTCAAAGGCTTGTTTTTTAATAGGACTGTGACAGTATAAACACTCACAGAACCACAGGGAGCCAATTGGAGGAAAAATTATATACTTTATTTTGTATCAAGGTAAAACAGCGACTTGATGCAGCCGCACATGTCTCAGTGCGCCATTGAAGAAAATGATCACAGCTCCAAGATGTGAGGAATCTGTACAGCTGAAGGATTAATGAGGTGGATTTTGTCTTCTCTTGTGCCCGACGAAGCTGTCTCCTCCAATCACAGGATCTAAGATGGCTCCTAGAAACGGCACAGCTGTTAAATTTCGCCTCACATCCTGAAATCTCAAAGCCGTCCCCTCTGTGATTGGCTGTAATTAGAACGCTGAAAACCCATATTTATTTTATTAGTGACAAGAAGCTTCCATTCCTCTGGATCTCAGATGATGAGCTGGGTAAAAATTGTCTGGCCTGATTGTCAGTGTTTGTTGTAGCTACAGGTTCCCATATGTGCTTAAGGATGAGACATCTCTCATGTGGCTTATCTGTCGCGTTTGCTAGCTGTGACCCACAAACGTTAAATAAACTCAGTAAATAAACTGATCGCGCTTGACTGAGACTTGGTGAACATCACAGACTGTGATACTACTGTACACATCTGGAAGGTAACATCTGTTCTTCGATGTTCTCAGTGAAAGCTCAAACAATGATTAGAGGCATATTTCTGACACCAACAGAGAGGTTGGAGTACATAGGATCATTATGATTCATGAAAATGAATTAATTATTTTTACAAAATATTCCTTTAGCTGAAGACTGTTACATAAGATGTACACAGATAAGCGCTTAGTCATAATCCATTCATACACAAAAAGCCTTAAAACGACTTGTCATTAGAAAGGCTGTCCGCTCTTTCATCTCTTCCTTTTTGTGCTGTTGACAGTACCATCCTTGATCTCGGGTATTTTTAGTGTATCATTAGATACAGCTGACAAGGAGTAGAGAAAGGGGCAGAAAGAGGGAGAGAGATCCATCAGCGGATTATTTTGTCTTCGTTAGTGTGCCATTTTTACTAGACCCAGTGCTCGAACAACCTGCATGCTTTCAGGGATGTCAATAGGATTTGCAGTAATGGCTTCCCCGGTTGGGGGCTGAAATTGAATTTTTTTAAAACCTAATTTAGCCCGGTTTTATGTTTTCCCTTCCCCTGGCTGTCTCCACCTATCAATCAATTCCCTGGAGAATATAACCTCAAGAACCCTTAATGATCATATATTAGGCTATTTTTACCAGAAAAAATTGCTTCCTCATGTCTTGTCCAACAGTATTAGCTGAAATATATTCTGCACTTAAGTGTCATTATGTGCTCTTTTATTACTACTCACAGTGGTTGCAGAGACTGTGATCCATGCCTGTGCAGCCTATGGCTAATCATGTTAAAGGATATTTTTGGTTTATTACAAATTGGGTTTTATATATTTTATTTATATTTATATTAATAGTGGTTTTGGCTATCATTCTTATCTTTAACAACACCGTAGAGTATGCTGCAAAATTAGTAAATAGAAGAAGGAAACAGCCATGTTGAAAAATGCTTGTTTATGTTGGGTGCTTCAGGTACCAGCGAGACGATAAAATACGACCCAAGAATCCGATAGGTCCATAAGTTTGAAGGCTCATCAGTCTCCAAAACACTGAACAGCAGTTTCTATTACTATAATACTTGTTGTTAAATCCACACATGCCTTTCATTGTCCAGTGCAGCATCTTCCCAGATTACGTGGAATTGTACTGTGGAGAAATATTGAGCCAGGTTCTTTTTTGAAGTACAACCCTGACTTTTTTTGCTGGGGGTTGCAGGGATGCTGTGTGTCTGAAAACAGCCCTATCCAAATTTATTTGAAAGCAAAAAAAAAACGAAGGCCAATGGAAAACTTATTGGCAAACTTTAAGGTTTCAACTTTGACCTACCATACTTACCATAGTTGTGCAGATGCACAGTTTTCCTACTGAGGGATTATTACCGACACTCAGGTAGTTTTCAAATCAGTTTTATGTTAAAATAAATTATGGATGCACTGATCCAACTTCTTCTTTCACAATTCCATTTCCAATATCTCACTCTATGGGTATCTGACAGTACTGACGTCATATCAGATACTAGTGTTCTCTTTATACCATATTTAAATCTGTACATCTCATTGTATGGAAGTCATTGGGGTTGCTTTTATGTAAGGTCACAGGGGGCCTGGGATTTATTTGGCGTAAAAACAAGAGTCAAGGACCCATTGTGACTGAATGAATATAAACTGAAATCGGAAACATTTTGTTTTGTAATTGCATTGCCAAATCAGCTGAATTTCATGTTTATCAGGTAAATCATGGCTGATACTCTATTAGTGAGGTCAGTACCAACGCAATCAGATCTTTACAAGTAAAGTGCAAACTTGTTTCTTGTCTGATTGACACATTCACAGGTCTCAGTAATTAACCTGAGAGTACAATGTTGCCATAACCAGTAGAATCGATGGCCAAAGCAACAAATTATACCCAAGTTGAAATAATCTAAATTATCCTTGTTATCAAAGTATCCAAGCTGCATTAACAACTTCACTGTGCATCAGTACTTATTCATGTTCTGAAGCCATCACTGTTACTCTCCCTGGTTAGGTAATTGCACAGTTAGCAGACACCGCTGATATCTCACAAATGCCCTTTTTTTACCACTCCATCTGAATTAAACAGACACAGCATCAACATCATTCTCACAGCACCAAGGTGAAGTCAGCCCTGTGGGGCACGAAGCAGGCACTCCGAGCAGCTGCTTGCCATTTTAATGGCCACATTTCCTCTTGTTTGCAGCTCCAGGATGCCTCTTGTCCCGCTGATGTTTGTTAAATATGGTGAAGGGGGAGCCATTTGTAAAATGGTCGACCAATTGGGACTACCTAAAAGTGTTATCGCCGTGACTTTGAGAGGGACTTGTGACTGTGATTTAGATAAGAGTGAAGCATAGTAATGTTTGCTTTGTCAGTGTGTGTACACTCTTTCGTGCATGTCGGAGAATTACCTCGTTCCTGAATGATGCACAACCTCTCATCTTTAATGTTTATGTAAAGCAATCACTTTGGAGAAGATTAGCCAGTTGTCTCACTCCCTTATTGACTTTTCATAGCTCTGCTCCCATGACACAACATGAGTAATGATGTGAATGTCATTTGTTAATGGAGTTCTGCAATGGGTCTTTTTCTTACCAATGAGACATATCAAATTAGCTCATACGCTCATTGTTAGTATCCAGTGTTCATTGAGTGTCACAGACGATCAGCCTTTGTAAAATGCTAACATTATATGAAGCAGCAGGTGCAAATATCCTCTTTTGAGATGACCCAGTTTTACAGGAAGTTTGACTGATGCTTAATCTGAGAGGAAGTCTTGGCACAGACTCGAATTTTACCGTCCCTTTCAACCTCCAGAAAGTGATGCGGCAACTTGGCTTTTGACTGAAACAAACTGTCACAACAACTGATGTTCAGTGTTTTAATACCCACGGTAGAATAGTAAAAAAGTCTCTTAGCTCCTTAGCCGCTAACGTCACGGCAACATCTGAGGAGTTGGATGTCATCTTTGATCCAAGTTTTGAGCAACAAAAACTGAAAAACAGCTATTTCAGTCAGGTTTTGTCCAACTTAAGAATTTTGCCAAAATTAGATTGCTCCTTTCTTACAATGACAAAAGAGAAAGCTTTTATCATTCTCATTTTGATTGTACTGTATTGTGTTCCTTCCTTTCATGAAGAAGCAATGGCACAGCTCCACATTGTGTAAAATTCTCAGAAAAGCTGTTGATCAGAACTTCAAGTAGGGACTAAATTGCACTCAAGTCAGATCTGTATACTGATAACAAAAGTTATGCTAGCTATTAAAGTCAGCTAATTAAGGTTTATGTTGTTGAGGTATAAATACAGTAAATGCAGGATGGAATATTTCTGCAGCAGCTACCACAGTTTGTTTAGACCAACACATCTCTACTGCAGCTGAATATCCAGCAAGAGCTTCTACAATCCACATCCCTATAATTCCTACTGCACGTGGCATTCACGTCTAAG